TGGAAGCCATGGTTATGACAGAGTCAAAAAATGAGCGGAACAGCTTGCACTCGCGCACCAATGTGACAGGGTCACTCATATGCACCTCGAAAGCGCAGTCTCGTGATTCAATGTCGATCCTCGAATTCATAACCAACCAGACTCCGCGCACACGAATACTCAAAGCTCTAGCCGACGACCCGCATCAGCAGCGCCTCCACCTGGTTCAACTGTATCCTTCGCCGAAACATGTAGGTGACGATAAGCCATCATGTAAACAACATAAATTACAATTGGTTGTAGGTTTGATATAAGTGCACTGTGACATCAGTCGCTATACATGCGCCATTTCCTCTACACAACAGGCGGAACAGCCAAATTTGAAGGAATCCTGCCCGCAGAGCCACCAGCCACATTCTTGGCAGGAACGTTCATCTGTGATCCCTTGGCGGCCATCTTGTACGCTTGGACATCGGCGTCCGCCTTACTGGTGGGTTGTTAGTGTTGTCAAATTTGGAGGGTGGATAAGCCAGGGCTTTCTTACGGGTTAATGATCATGACCATGCCAAGCTGGCAGTGCATGCCTTGAGCGCAGTACATGAGCATGGGCTCGGTGTTCTCGACCTGCACGTTGAAAGTGCCGACCGGAGAGCCGTCCGTAACTCCCGGAATAAAACCAGAATGAACGCCATTCGGCATCGTATCCTGGAGAGGGTTACACGGGGCCTGGGTGTTCGCGGCCTGAGTGACGGTATGGTTGTTGGGCCAGAACTGGAACTGAACAATGTCTCCAGGGTTTGCCTTTACGACCTCAGGATAGAAGAGCAGAGACTTCTCACGAGTCGGGCTACCGACGACAACGGGGATGACCTTGGGCGTCGGGGGAGCGGGGCCCGGTGCAGGTGGTGCCTGACGCTCTATCGAAAATGTGAGCCACAAGGTACGGAAATACAGTTTCGTGGTGTAAGTGAGAAATACTCACCATTGAGAGCGGCGGCCAAAGAGCCTCCTACAAAGGCGGAGAGATAGACGGCGACGATGCTGAACTTCATCTTGAATACTTTTGGCACTCGATGATCCAATACGGATTACTGGCTAACACGGCTGAGACGAGGAGGCGCTGCTTCGATATGATGACACTGAAAACACTGCAGAGGAAAGTAATTTGCAGGAGAGGGGCAGAGGACTCTATGGTATTTAAGCTAACTATCACAACACGCAGGATCTCAAACTATCAGCACCTTCGGAACATGCACGGCGACACCACTCACCCACTAATACGAACCTTTTCTCTCTTAACCTTCCGCACTGGGCAAGCTTCTCCCGATCATGAGACCGAGTAGACTTAAAATCGCACAGTTGGAGTAATCGAGTTGCCGTGATCAGCAGGGGTAGCAGCGAAGCTTGGGCATCTCAAAAGATGAGATGACCTGAGTTGTCCAATGAGAGGTGTCAGATGCTTCAAACGTGACATGTTTCGTTTCTTCGGCCGCACTGCATACCGAAGCATGCTTAGAAATTGGCACCAAAGAATAAAGGGGGATTAAACATCAATTAGAGGAGGGGCGATAGCATCTCGCGCTTCATGGCCAGGAGGGGAGAGGCCGGTCAATCAAGAAGCTGTCTCCTCGTGTCAGGTCCTTTCGGCGTTGGGACGACAGTGACCAACAAGGGAACGAAGTTGCGGGCAACGCGGGCAACATCCAAGCTTGCCAATGAGCCGGCCGTCGGCTGGCTGAGTATGAAGTCTGGAGTTCTTTCATGATTACCAAGCTAAAGCTCGCAAACGGATGAAACGGTTGCGGCGTCGTTTCGAAAGATTGAAAGAGGCGTGGGCCCCCGGCTGGCACCTTCGATTCCCCCTTGACCGTGGGGGATCTCCGAGCGTTGAAAGCTGGCACTGGCGGGAGATCGGCACAAACGTTTAATAGTTTGCACATATTGCTAGGGTGTTTGCGGCTCTGGAATTTGTTCTTCGTCGCGCGCGGGAGACGAATTGAGTATTGACTCTTGACGTCAGGAGAGCTTTTACGCTGAAATTATCGGGAGATCGACGTCAAAGGGAACGTGCGCATGCTGTGATTGTGACATCTACGAATTTATTGCCCTATTTGAGAACAGACCTTGCCTACCCTTAACTGCCCGTGTCCAGAAAGTCCTTCGCCGTTAATCCTAATTCCAAGCCGCACTATTGCATAGCGATACATGCTTAACGGTGAACTGCCGGAAGTTCCGGGATCTATAGCTCTACTTCTCCGCGTCTCCGTCTCTTTTCATCTGACCCGGAGTCTGGCCGTCTTTCGTCTTGTCCTTCTTGACGCTCTTCCACTCGATGAAGACACACCCGAAAACTGTCAAACATCCGAGAACAGTGGCTATCAAAAACACGTTTTGGAGAGCCTTGTTGTAAGCTCCGATGATGCCGTCGACTGAATCCGGGTAGATGCTCCGCATCGACTCCACTAGTCCGGAACCGCCCGCGTCAATGACGATTGCCGGGTCTACGTTGGGGACGTTTTGGCTCAACTCGGAGATTAGTCTCGAATGGAAGATGTTTTGAGCGACAGCCAAAAACACGGTGCCACCGAGACTTTGCAGGAAAATCAAGAGAGACGTGGCTAGGGCTACGTCACGACCTTGGAACACGGTCTGAACTGCTATCAACGTCTGTTGCCCGCCCAGACCGACGCCCAATCCTAAAAGAACAAGTGAGGCAATCCTAAAGCAATTGTCAGCATCTTGAATGCGTTGAAACTTCGGGACAAGGTAAAATAATACCAGAAGCCTGAGCTCGTGTTCTCGTCAAACGAGTAGATCAGCCCCGTTCCCACAGAAGCAATAACGGACGAAGCGATGAGTTGCGGGACATAGTATCCGATGTGACTAGTCTGACAACTGATCAGTATCACGGCATGGCTTTCCGAGCATGATTAGTACATGCATTGTCAACGTACCAGAAATCCAGAAAGTATTGTAGCCACTGACAAGGAAACCGATGATGCCAACAAGTCGATGCCACTCTGATAGGCAGAGTGATTCTTGACTGCTTGTAGCCAGATGGGGATGTAGTAGACTTCGATAAAGAGAAGTGAGAATAGCAGAAGCATGAGCCAGCAAGCACAGGCCATAGACTTCTGGAAGAGGATGCGAAATGGGACGGTGGCTTTGTCGCCCTCGCGGAACTGGACTAGTGCCCATAAAAGGAAGCAGACCGCAAAGAGGCACCAGCACAGAATTATGCGCCAATTGCTCCAGGGATATTCAGTTCCGCCCCACTGCAAGGCGAGAAGGAGACAGATGATCCAAGGTATGAGGAGCAATGTCCCTACCAAGTCAAAGTTTGAAATAAACTCCCGCAAGCTTTGCGTTTGCTTCTTCGGCGGCGTCGGCAGCTTCAGGAGAAAGAGAACCACCAGGAAGGTAACACCGCCAAGAGGAAGGTTGATCCAGAAGCACCATCCTGATGTATGTCAGTGTCCTGTGATATCACATGATTAGGGGAGAAAAGATGTCCTACTCCAAGTAGCCTTATCAACAAAGACGCCGCCAAGAGTCGGCGCTATGCACTGCGAGATTCCGCCCGCCGCGCCAACTGCTGCGGTGAACTGCGGGCGTCTGTGAAGAGGCACACTTCTAGCCAATATCTGAGCCGCGATCGGATTAGCCAACAAGGTTCCGTAGAAATCGAGAAACGCCAAGCCTTATAGGAAAGACTTACAATAAGAGCGCCGGACATGAGTCCAGCTGCACCGACTCCGGAGATGGCTCGGCCGACAATGAGAACCACGGAGCTCGGAGCCACGGCGCAGACAATGGAACCCACCTCAAAGATGAAGAGAGCAACAAGGAAGACCCATTTGGCGTTGAACTCGGCGTACAATTTGCCGAAAAAGAGCTGGAACGAACACATGGTGAAGAGGTACGCGGAGCCGTACCACGCTACATCCGGTAGAGACTCGAATTCGGACGTGATTACCGGGATCGCGGTTCCCAAGATTGAGCGATCCTAGATGAGGATCGGTGCTGTTAGCGATGTGCGTGCTGCAGTGACAGGGAGATACAACGCCCCAGAAAGTAATTGAAACTTACAAGTCCAAAGCACAAAACCGCAAGGAATAGGCCGATTGTGATGATGGCCAGGCTTGCACCAGTGGGGTATTCTTCTGCGACGGCATCTTGGGCTGGCGAGGTCTTCTCCAGTTCTGCATCGCTGAACTTCTCTCCACTCGTTCGTGGTATCGAGTGTGAGGTCGTCGTCCTAGGGACAATGTTAGCTCATCAAGCCCGGAACGTGTCTCCGTAGTCCCCATAGTAGCTGCAGTGTGAACCCACCTTGGCTCGACAGGCATCTTCGCTGATGGTAAAACTGAAATTGGTCAAATAAAGTTGTGAAGTGTGGTGTGGTTGCTTGTGCGAATGCCAGATGTTCAATCCCTCTGTCCAGCGGCTATTTTCTTAAATACAACTATTCTTCATGATTGTAAAGATATTCATCGCCTTTGAATGTTTCACCATCTACACATGCAGATGCCTCATCATGTTACCGGTCCGTACGGACAATAACACGGGAGACAAGTCGAAGTCAGCATGCCAGGCCGGGTTTAGCGTCAGTAGCCACACACAAATATCAAGATCCCTCAGCCTTAATCATCTTCAGTATTACATGTAAGAATCACAACAAAGTCCCCAAAGCTGTGCAGAAGAAGACTGGGTCCGACGTGCAGGCATCAGTGTTAGGGTCACTGGTGCTTACAGTGGATACTTGGACGCAAGAAAAAGATCTTTGGATGTTGGCGGCCGCCGTTTACAAAGGAGCTTTGGCCAGAGCAGCAGTTTTGGTGTGAAAAGTCGGAGGTCGGGGCTCAAAATAATCTCCGACACCGTGCTCCTTGCTGGTGATGAAGCCAATCAAGTAGCCCCCTTACATCCCGATGATCCATCTACGGATCTTAAGAGTCCACCGGTCCCCGGACTCTTCCATGCCGTCCGTTCCATCGCTCTCGAGCTCCCTCGCCCCAACATTGCCATCTAATTCGCGCCTAACCAAAGTGCCCTTACGTTCTTTCAAATTTTTCTGTCTCCATTTTCTGAGACACGAATGCTCCGTAAATATCTCTAAGCTCGGGTTGTTGTTGGGAAAGATTACAAACGATGTCGCCAAACGATGATGCCAGCAGCCCCGACTTTGCGCATAGTCACGCAAAGAAATCCCGAGCTTGCACCAATTGCGCTCGCCTCAAGATACGATGTCGGTGGCAACCGGGTTCGGAACATAGCGAACACGCCGATTGCATACGGTGAGCACTTCTGCCTCTGCTGGCTACAGTTGTGTGTATCAAACAGAGTCCGCTGACAGCGCTGGTATGCCAAGCTGCTCCCGCATGAGTATACGATGCCAGGTACCGGAGCCGGTCCCGAGAAAGAAACGGGGAAAGTCAAGGTCAGTCCAGAAACCCGATGAATTCATCGCGGAGTGTATTTTGTTGCATCCTGCTCTTCAAGCTAGCTGCAGATCACCCGACCCTCCTTCTTACTTCTCCTTACTGGGGTATTTGAGCGGAACGTGAAGCTAAATGCCTACTCCGTAGTCGTGTTACTGAGCTGGAGAAGAAGATAGATGGCCTAGTCAGCCTTTTCCAGACACAGCAGCAGACAGGAGAGACACAAGGGCAGCCGGCAACCGGGCCCAGCCCCAGCAGCGAGGACCCGCGCTTGATGCCATGTACTGGGTTGACTATACCAGGCGTCACCCATCAAGTAAGCACAGACGCATCTCCAAGTGTCAACAGCTCAGCCGGCACCCAAGATTGTCATACTATGCCGACTCCAGAGGCTGGGTTTCCCAGTGGTTCCTATCAGCTCTTGCCGGGGTTCACCATCGCTGCCGAGAAGGCTGAGGAGTACCTTTCCATCTACCGGACGCGTATGGTTCCCAACTTCCCATTTGTGCCCATCGAGCCTGAAGTTACAGCAAGGGACCTCCACAACCAAAAGCGTTTCCTGTTCTGGTGTATTATGCAAGCCATCGTACCCCAGACCGCCACAGTACAAAAGGCAGTCGACGACTGGGTCCGCAAGCATGCAGCTATGCACATCGTAGTTCATAAGGAGAAGAAGATTGAGCTGCTTCAAGGTTTGATTGTCTATGTCGCCTGGTAAGTGGTTCTACCGAGCCGTTTCTCGATGCGTTGGCTCCGGGCCCGCCCTGCTGTCGAAGCGTGATTGTCTGACGATTTTGTATCTTACAGGGGGGATGTCCACCTACAGATGGGTATCAACGCAAACACCCTCCTCCAACTAGCCATCGGCCTAGTTATGGACATGACCATGTACACTCTAGCAGGCCCCGTGAGTTGGATGCCGAAGACCTTGTTGAATGATGCGTGGGCCGTCTTGGGACGGGGCGGAAAACAGTTCGAGGCACCAAAACCAACTCTTGAAGAGCAAAGAGCGATTCTAGGCGGCTACTTTATTGCGTCGAGGTGTGTTCCCTGTAGCCCGGTTTTGTGTAGTGAAGCGTGGAACGAAACTGATCTTCTTTGCCAGTGTGCCCGCCGCCATAAGGAGGCACTCGCAGATACAGTATACGCCCCAGATCGCACGATGTTCCAAGGCCATTCGCGAGGCGGACGCTATACCGACAGATCAGAATCTACTTGCCCTCGTTCGTATGCAACATTTAGGGGACCGCATTCGCGCTGTCTTTCCAAGCCCAGACAGAGAGGAAGGGGAGCCTCTACCCATCTTTCGGGAACACTTTAGTGCGGTGTTAGCATCACTTCGCAAAGAGATCTGCGCTCTCGAGTCAGAAGAACCCGCCATCAAGAAGGAGAACCGTAAGTGAACTTCTCGGCAACAAAGAAACGAGTCTTCGGTCAACTATACTAACCGTCCACGTCGTCTAGCAATGGTTTGGGCACACTACGGCGCATTGATGGTTAGACTATACGAACCATGCATCGGCATGCGAGGAGCCAGCCCTTCGGAGGCTATGTCTGCCATGGAACCGTTCAGTAGGACCGAGTCACTCTGGTTCTGCCTTCAGGCAATTCAGATCGCCATGGACGCGCTACTCGCCATCCCAGCTGAAGCATTTGCATATCTACCCTTCAACACCGTTGCAGATATAGCACATACGATGATGTCGTCGCACCGACTGCTTTTGGAGGACTCGGCAAATGACTGGGACGTGATGCTGGCGCGCCAGAAGCTCGACCTTCCTGATATAGCGCGGCGGCTGGCGGATCGTTTCGAGGAGGCGGACAACGTGGCGCTGATCGTTGGGCAAAAGAGGCGAATCTTCGAGGACGAGAGCTCGCGCTGGGCGAATTATGCGTACCGGGCGAGGTGGATCCGTCAGTGGTACCTGAACAAGGTCGTTGGGCAGCCGCCTCAGGAGCAGATGGCGACGGAGCACCAGCAGCAGCAGGAGCAGCAACAGCAACAGCAGCAGCAAGCACAAATGGTTCCTCACGTGGGGATGATGACAGACCCGAACATGTCTTGGCTCGGGGGCGTAGCGATGGACCAGTCGTTTTGGGAGATTATGATGCTGGATGGGCCTGGGCAAATACCCATTGACGCGTCCATGCTTTTGCCAGACCAGGCCATGTTGCCCGCCATGCAGACTTCTTAGCATCACACCTATTGATCGGCTAAGAGCCTCCACTTTCACATTTCCGCCCGTCTCTGAATCTCTGGATGACTGGTGTGGTGACTTGGCTTTGGCAAGAGATAGGAAAGGTTCCGGCACGGGAAGGTGGCAGTTATGCAAGGGTAGGGCGGGTCTGAAGACACTCTGAACTCAAACCCAAACAGGATTTGATGCATTTTGTAGTCTAAGGCGCGTGTCTCTGCTTTGTGAGCTGGTTCCACTCTCGAAACGAGCGGGAGTCATGTGAATTTTGTCGTTGTTTCTGAGGATTGCTCGAAATCTAGGAGAAGAATTAGGTACAGCTGACGACAACGTTTCTAAATGAGGATAGCATCCGCGGGGTCAGGAGATACATGCGTTGTCTCAAGTTGTGCCTTGATCTCGACATGACTCAGGCTGTGCTAAGATTGCAAGCCATATCCGGTCTTAGTGAGAATGCCTATGCGATAGGATGTCATCTCCTATTCATGAGATTTATCGAGGGCGAGTTGAGATTTTTGCTGACAGAAAGTAGTATTCAATGGTATGAGAGACACGTACATCTACCTTACTCGAGAATAACTGTACAGAAACGTTCTGATTGTACACTGTGAACAGCCGGAGTCCTTAACAATATCGCACACCTTGCTCCGCCCGAGTGATGATGGCTGTTCAACGCCAACAACAGCAACAGTTGGCGAAGTATTATCCACACCGGTCCACAAACGGCAGGGTGGGCAAGGTTTGTTACTAGTCGTCTTGGAAGATTTCCACTTTCTTGAATGCGGTCCAGCCGGTTCCCGCATTCATGCCGTTCTCTCTGCGCATTCCCAATTTTAGTCAAAATTCCTACGCGTTAGCAGGGAAATCTGTACCCGAAATCTCTTTGCTGATAGGTGGACGAGAGACGAGGGCGAGAAAGGTTTACTGGGCTCACATATTCCCTTGCCGCAGTTGAAGGGCCAAGGTGTAAGGTAAGTGTGCTGCCTTGCAAAACATCCCTCCCCACACTTGCAGCTGCCAACTAAAGGACCATGAACATGTCTTCTCGGCAGCCAAATCAGTGCTACATCCCGTCGGCCAGGTCTGTGGAGGTGTGCTTTCCTAGATGCGGATCATTGTCCCCGCCAAGTCTCTCAGCTGCATATAACGCAGTCCACATTACAAGTTAAACGTCGCTGGTGATTGGCTTACTGCGCAAGGTGAGGTGTATGAGCAGCTCTTGCTAGGCACCTGATAGCGGTCCGCCGTCTCGACACGCCAGTTTTCATCTCCGGAACGGTGGGGGAAAAGGCGTGATTGCGTTCTCAGTCGTGGGGCCATGGGCCAAGAAGCAGCCAAGGAATCTGAGATACAGAGTGCAGACCCATGTTGTAGTGAGCGTGGGGTTTGAGGCTGTGATCCTGGCGTGGCCGGGGTCCCGGTCCTCGGCACGCTGGCGTCGAGAATGGACGCTCATGAATCTTGAGCTAATGTGATTTGCAGCCGCTAGTCTCTTGATTTGAAGAAGTGGTTTTGTTAAGCTAGCTAAACTTTCGTTTTGATCTTGTACTTGCGGATATGGATCACGGGTGAAAAGCCAAACCCCGCAAAGTCAGTCCGGAGAATCCGGGGTAGCTGATTGAACTTTGGTGAGCCATACTATTCAAACGATAGACCCTATCATACCCGGGAGATTGGACATTCTGAGGAATCGAGTAATGAACTCAAAACGATGTGCAAATTGCTCAATACTTTGAAGACTTGCGTCTTGGTATTTGCTTGACTCAATCGCCACATGTGAAGAATTGAATGACGCATCAGCATCAACCTGCCCCTAATGCTCACAGCCATATTTGTACCCTGAATCGGGCCGCAAAACAGTCAAACCTTCTCGATCTGAAACCAATGTTACCGTTGAACCAGCGTGATCTACTCCGTACATCAAAAGACTTATGTGGTCTTTACCATGGAAAGGGAGAGCGCCAACCTCCTCAGCTTTGCTCTCGGCACCCCACCCTGCCCGTTCAACCAGCGGGGCCGGTTCTAGTTAACTAGTGCAGCGTCATGTCGATTTCTTGTGCTTTGATTGGTCTTTACTAGGGCCAAAGGCCAGTCTGGGAATAGCTCGCTTGGCTCATTTGCTAGTCGTCCACTGCTCCTTGAGCTTGACTGGGGCATGGAGTAAGGTGTTAAAGACCTGCTGTTTTGAGTGTGAACACATCGGTGCCGGCAAAGCTCGCACCAACACCGACACAGCACGACAGACCTAGAATAGCAGACAATCCATTACCAGAACGGTATACAAGGTATATTCTCTGGATCTTGGTTTATGTGAGTTGGGTTTTAAAGTTTGTTCCGCTCTTCTAAGCCTTCTAGAGATAATACCGTCACAATATGCCGGCGCTGGGGTCCCCCACCTCGGAACCCCCTCGTCCCCCACTCCGGCAGCTATGCAGTTTAAGGTTGCATGGTTGTGACCCCCAGTGGATATTCCGGGGGGAATCTGGGGTAGTGTCGGTGCGACGCTATTCGGCCCAACCCCAGAGAGTCGAGTTAGACAATGGAAGGGAATTATTGAAAAGGACGGTGCAGAAGCGAGAGTTTGAAATCATACGAACATCAGACCATCTCACTCTGATGCTGTTGAGGCGATTCTCAAAAGGTCGACGTGCACATTAGACACCAGTAAACAATTTGATCAAGTGAATCAACCCACTTTCACCCAATCAAGAAGGCTGAAGAAAATGTCGGGCTGGAAGTATGCGTTTGCCCTGAGCAAGGAGGAAGTTGCAACGGCTACACCGCCTGGGACGGCAAGGTTGATAGGCGAGTTCCTCCACTATTGAACAAAGTCATCTTTGGAGCCGCGCTGGACCAGGCAACGCGTTACCGATATTCCAAGACACGATTCTTTTGGAACGATACTTGGCCTATTTGCTGACCACTGACTTCCCTTGCAGTTGAAGACGAGTCTTCCGGCGGATCACCAAGATCTTCCAACTCTCTCAGACGATTCCCACAACCATCGGAAGACCCAGCAGACCCTCTCAACTGGGCACAATGGCGCAAGTTCGCACTGCTGTTGACTGTCTCACTATACTCCTTTGCCGGCAACTTCACCAGTTCGGGCATTGCACCGGCGTTGCAACTATGGTTCAAGGCTTTTCCGACAGACGTCAGGCCTTTTAGTGACCTCACATACTTTATCGCGGTGCGTCGATTACTGTATTCACACGATGGTCCCGGGTTGGTGAACTCAGCTGATGGTGGTTGTATTTCCAACAGGTTAATATTCTGTTTCTCGGAGCGTCCAACATTTGGTGGGTCCCTCTTTCGAACATCTTTGGTCGACGACCGGTGCTACTGGCCGCAACGCTCCTCATGACGATCGGCACCATTGCGTGCGCTGTCTCAACATCATACAACGGTGTTCTCGTTTCCAGACTGTTCCAGGGCATCGGAGCTGGTGCATCAGAGTCTGTGGCTCCGGCACTCATCGGAGAGGTCTTTTTCGTCGACGAGCGAGGACGTGCCATGGTAAGATAAGCCCCAAACCTGTACGATGAAAGAAAAGAGAAGAAGTACTCTTGTGCTGATCTATCAACTCTCCCACTCAGGCCATCTACACTGTCTTCCTTGCGGGCGGCTCTCTAATCGGCGGAATAGCGGGCGGGTATATCGGCTTCCAACTAGGCTGGTTCTATATCTTTTATGTCGGCATAGCCCTCTCTGCCGCGTGCTTTATCACCACCCTCTTCTTCGTCCCCGAGACTCTCTATGACCGCGTCATATCCCCCAACGTCGACGCCGCCGGCCAGTCGCCCATTGACGAAAAGGGCATGGAAAGCCACGTCGAAGACGCAGAGAGCCGGGTCCTAGACTACCGGTCCTTCACCTTCGGACGGTCCCTGGGCTTCACCCACTACCGCGGCGGCGTCGTGAAGAATTTCCTCGCCCCCTGGAAGACGTTGAGATTGCCGGGCACCTGGGTGGTCATGTTCCACTACGCAGGCCTCGTCGGCGGCATCGTCACCATCTCCACGGTCGGGCCCCAGCTCGTGGCGGCACCGCCGTACCTCTGGGGCGCCAACGTCGGACTGATCAACATTGGAGGCGTCATCGGAACCGGCTTGGGCGCGCTGTACACGTATCTCCTCTCCGATGCTCAGCTGAAGAAGAAGGTCAAGAGTTCGGGCAGCGGGCTGGCGGAAGCGGAGAGCAGGTTGCCAACCATGTTTCCCTCGCTCGTCATTGCCACGGGCGGGTTCTTCGTGTTTGGCTTCACGGGCCAGTACCCGTCCAAGAATGGCTGGGTCGGTCTCTCTGCCGGGTTTGCCATGGTGTCGTTTGGTCTTATGCAATTACCATCCGTCGGCTTCAACTACGTAAGTACATGCATTTCCCACACGCGTGCTTTCGTATCAAGCAATGAGATCTCTAACCTGGGAAACTTTAGCTCATCGATGCGTATCAGCATCTTGCTGGTGATTGCTTCGTCATGGTCACGATCATGCGAGCAATCATCGCATTTGCGTGGACGTTCTTTGTCGCGCACTGGGTCGAGGAGAAGGGAACTTCGGAACCTTTTGGTGTATTTGGAATGCTGATGGGGATTTTCTCTCTTTTGACAATTCCTCTATGGCTGTTTGGGAAGAGGATGAGAATTGCCACCAGAAAGCTGGTGGAGGCATGAGCAGCCTGCGCGTTCTTTTAAGCGAGTGTTACCATTGTGTGTCAAGCTGCTTCCAAAGATGCGATGTGTTCGTATGGTATCACTCAAGTCATGACACCCCTTCTTTGCTCTGTGTATGGCTCCGTTCCAAAGACTTCGCACTCGAAATTGTAGGATCATGTTTAGCGTCCTAATTCGGGCATTCTGGCAAAGCACTGAATATCTAAGAACCAACTTCTTTAAGAAAGTCGGTATCATGCGGCAACAATACTTCACTTGGACCGACGGTCAGCGCCAGGGTGAGTTGAGAAGTTCGAGTTTTGACACCGGGAAAAAGCTAGTACGTGTACATCAACATTGATGAACATTAGGGAAGTACAGAGAAGCGTAATAATCAGGGCAAGTTCCCATCCAAGAGAGCGCTCATAAATATCGACTCGAGCAGTCAGTACAACAAGTAAATCAATCCTAACGCCACGATTGGCACGTTGGCAATCAAATGGCCCTTGACCTTGGCCCTGCCAACCGCGACCGCCTCATCAGAGGCACCAGAGCTCGCCATGTACTCAGACACGACCGCCGCGCCGCTGAAGCCCACGCCGGAACCCAGCATCAGCACGATCCCCAGGCACCTCCGCACCGCCGTGGCCGCTAGCGGTGAAGCGCGGCAGACGTCGGAAAACTGGCCGTAGAGCACCAAGCCCAGGATGCACGACGACATGTGCAGGTTGCGGGCGCCCTTGACCTTGATGAGCGCGTGGTGGAAGGCGTCGAACTGGGCCGGGGTGACGGTGTCCCGCGGCGGGGGCAAGAGGCCGAACGTCGCGGCCCCGCCTTCGGGCTTGGCGAGGTTGAGGGCCCCGTCTGCGGCGCCGAGAAGGGCGAGCAAGCCCGTGAAGAGGGGTAGGGCGGCGGGTTTCCACCAGGATGTTGGGGATGTGTTTAAGCTAGCCATGACTTTGTGCGCAGGGAGTGACTCAAGTTATTGAAGGTAATTGACGTCGGCTGGAGGAGAATTGGCCGGTGGTGATCAGGATCAGATTCAAGGGGGGATCGGCGTCAGCTCAAAATGCCTCACCGGTCAAGAAGAAGTGAAGTAGCCGGATTGATTACCTCAGGCAACATCATTCGGATCACGTGGCGTCTTACATGGTACATTGGCGTCACTTCAAGCCACACTGGAACGTTGAGTATGGTTAGGAAGTATTTTGGTACTTCACTTCAATCATCCTACTCACCAATTGAGGCTCACTCAAAACCAGGTCACGGCAGTCATTGCTGGGGTTCAAAGTGCCAATCGAAATCAAATCATTCACGTAGAAGACCTTGAGTCTAATCAAATACCATAATGCTATTTTTCCCTTGTCAATTTTGAGTTGCAATCTGTCTCGTTTTCCCAGTAGGCCGTTCCCATCCGAGCACTCTATCAGATTTCTCTCCACGAGAGAATCACCCTCCTCCCCAGAAACGGAAACACAAACAAAAAATACCAAAAAACCAAAAAGCAACGAGTAACACTGCGCAAATCAGATCCAGCCACCATGTAGGCTCCCAGAGCAATTCCCCATTCCATCACGGCCAATACAACACTACCAAGGAAGGAAAACAAGGGATGTCCGTCGCCTCACTTCTTCTTTGGGGACGGCGAGCTCTCGTGCGGCACCTCTCTTGAAGCATGCCGCTTGCTTGGCGAAGACGGCTGCGGCATGTATCCGGACGGAAACATGGTAGGCGGATTGAGAGGAGAGTGGCTTTGGGCCGAATCATTGTCCTTTGCACCTTGCGAGGACGTCGCCTGGCTATCTCCGGCAGCTCTTGGTCCCAAAGGAGGCGGGGATGGCGTTCGCAATTCTCTCACTTCCATGGCACCCCAATACCACACCGGGCTATCAGGACCCTTGTCTGGAATGGCGGGGTGGGTTCCTGTGCTATCACCAGAGCGGGCAGCCCGATCAACGTAAACCAATCGTTCAAACCGGTCCTTCAAGTGGACGTCGACGATCTCGTAGACGGCTTCAAAAACCGGAAGAGGAGTCCACGGAGGCAGGGAGCACCCAAACCAGTCTGAATGCACACCTCCGTAGAGGAACTTCTGATTAGATGACCCTTCCATGTGCTTCAAGAGAAGATAACACGAGGGGCAGCACCGCTTGTTCACTGGAAGGGGAGCTGCCATGTCCTTGAGCGCATCGAGGACTTGGGAGTCCGGAAGTTCAAGAACGTTGATGCTGTCTTCGGCTTGAGGAACGGTGGTGGCATAAGGCTCCTCTGAGTTGCTCAGCGCGGAGAGGCACATGAGAATCGTTTCGGCATGCCAAGTGCCTGGGAAAGCCTCTGGATCGGGTCGCTTGACTTGTTCATAGAACCAAGCCGCAATCTGGTGGCGCTCGGAACTTTCCAGCTTTTGCCCATCTTTCAGAACAAAGCCCTCGAGAAAATCTTCAATCTTCATCATCTTCTGATCCGCGAAGGTCGGTGTAGTCTCTATAGCTTGCAACCTGGCTCTGAGGACTCGCTCGACTAAAATCTCGTCCGCACTGACCATGGTGCGGATTGCATCTTCATACCGACAGATGATGCCCAAGAAGCCGGAGAGAGAGGCATGGTAGCCGACAGTCTTCTGAACACGAATCAAGTCTTGAAATTCGGCGTCGGAGTCGTCGAGAAGATCTTGCCATTCCGGACCGGATCTGTCGAAGTGTCCGCTGGCGTCGATGGTGAGGCCAGCCATAGATCGATCCGGGGTCCTGGGGATCGCGCTAGCTGGACCCTGAGACGCCTCCATCGGCCGCGTCATATGCTGCAACCAAGTGGCGGATTCGTTCCCCTTGGAGATGATGTTGCCGACTGGCTTCCCGTCGAGCCCGTACCCCTGGCCTGTTTTCCACGTACCTGTTGGCTGGATGATGCTGCTCAGCCACATCATGTGGGAGTTCATGACTTCGGGGAAGCGTCGGCGAAGGTTGCTCAAATGGAATAGGGCAGCTTGCAAATGGGGAATGTTTTCATCAAGCCAAGTCAGAACCTCGGCTTCCTTGTTTCGCAAGTTAGCTTCGCGATCCTGAGCTTTCTTGTTGCGTGAGGCGCCCGGGATGCGATGGGCATTCTTCGCTCGAGCCCTGAAGAGCACATTCGCGGACGTTCCGACAGCACGAGATGTGAACTCATCTTTGATCGTCTTCTGGAAGTGGCGGATTACCCTCATGAGCGATGAAACGACCCGATGAAATTCTATCCGTCCATTGACGTTGTAGAACTCTTGGCCGACATCCACATAGAGACAGCTTTCCTCCCATGATGGGGTCATGTCTACAGTACCCGCTGGAGTCTTCTGTCTCCAAGCCAGTGCTGCGCGATAGATAGACCGGAGAGCTGAGGCTTGTTTGTCGGATCTCAAAACTCTGTTGAGGCTGCTGAGCTCCTCGTTGGGGTTGACATCGCCCCCGACGCAAAATGGCTGGCCCAGAAGCTGAATTGGCGTGGTCTCGTCAGTGGAAGCTGTGAATCCGCCGAAAACACTTTCAGGTTCGTTGGACAGATGGGTGTGAAGCATGCCATGTAACGTTTCGACCGTGATACAGAGGTTGTCGCCAAAGTTGCGGTGGACGAAGCCAGCATCAATACGAGAAGTAATCTTCGCCCGTGACTGGCAATAGATGTACCGTGTTAGAAGGGCAGTAATGATGCGCTTCTGCTCGTCGTTAGGAGAAAGGAAGAGTCTCTTGATGATAGCGAACACATTCTCGGCGTGTTCCCAAAGCCGCATTCCCTGTCGCTTTCCATTCAGTTTGTCGGTCGTGTAATATCGCAACCAGAAGGCAGGGACATCTTGAGCCGTTGTGACGTCCTCGAGACCGCTCGTTGGTTGGCTTGCCGGGAGCCGAACGCTCAAAGCTGGAACGGGCCGGTTTTCGCCCTCCGTCACCGTCGGGGGCTTTTCGTGTTCCTCGTATTCGGGGTTGGCAGAGATGTAATATACGTCTCCGTCTCCGTCGTCTTGAGATGAGCTCGCTCCCTCCGCAATGGGTATTCCGGTTCGAATATGGAGCGGACCGCGACCCGTGGGAGATACCGCCACGATCTCTTTGTCGCGAATGAGTGTTGCTACAAAAGCATCGAGAAAGGAGTTCAGGTGCCTGAGCTCTTGTTGACTGCCCGAGGGCATACCAGAGTGTTTCAAGACCGCGTCGAGCTTGTCCGACTTGAAAGTGAATCCATGGACTGGGCTGACTGGATTGGACTTGGCGAGCATAAAAGTCATCGTTCTGAACTTCAAGAGCTGCTCTCTCGTAGGGAATTGGGCCGGGATACCAATGTTCACCATCGATGGCTCGGAAATTGTAGATGACATTTCGGCAGGACCCGTGATAGGCGCGGCGGAGGCGCTGCCTGTAGACGTTGTGGGCTCGCCATCCGAAGCCATTCTACACCCAACAGTTAGTAAGCTTTTCTGTCTTGGGATCTTGCGATAAAGATGCATTGCATCAAATGGGATGGAAACTCACTTGTCTGTAGACAGTCAAGGATCCTGTGTTTGAGACAGATGAAGCCGTAGGGAACTTTCGCTGAAGTGTTCACGTCTAAATGTAGAAGGAGGGTTTCGAATCAGTGACTGCCACCAAACCAATACATAGATGCTGAAAGACATTCTTACCTGATCTTTGGTAGACGGGCGTAAGAGGAAAACCAGCTTGGCAAGACGGCCAATGTCTGTTGGGGGATAGACCTAGGTTAGCGCTCACAGTCTGTCAAGATCTTCAGTTGTAGTAAGTGTGAACCTTTCTTACCTTGCTTGACCTTTGCCAAGTATCCGCGGATGAATACCTACAAGGACGAGAAGGCTGAGACTGAAGAAGACGTTGAGGCGGGATAAGGTATCGGTGTGGAGTGAAAAAGGTAGTTGAGATGGGCGTGTAGTTGAGACGGGTGAGCTCTGGGAAGAATTGTAGATTGCGTGAGCGAGCAAGAGCGGGTGGTTTTGACACCTTTGGTAGAATCCGTAGACACCAGGCAACCAAGGAAAGTAGGCGAGTGGAACAGTCTACCTGATATGAGAAAGAAAAAGGAGGAGCAGCCTGGGGCCTTCCTTGCCCATCTGGGCAGGCAGGTCTTTGGAATTCATCCGTTCTCAAAGGCAGGTCAATCTCTTCCTTCCTTCACCTTGTCTCGGGTCTCCATGGGCAGGCGGCTACGGGTACCAAAGCAGGCACCAAAGACTGCAGACCAAGGTACTGAGAACGATTGGTTAGAAGCCAAAAGGTTCATTCTGATTGTTGCGGAACCTGAAAATCGAGTTTTTGTTTAAGAGGAGGGGGATTATCGGGATACTGCCGTCTTCATGGAGGCTTTTGCCGAAACTACCCTGGTCTCTCAGTCTAAGCTAGGTCCTCAAGCATGAGCGGAAGGTCGCCTGCATAGTACCCATGGACTAGGGTAAATCAGAGTCTAGTAAATGAGATCACTGCAGAATCCAGATCAGTGTCGATGTAGCGAGATACAACCTCTAGTTACACGCAGTACATCTGATTAGATAACAGGCATAAGTCAGCCTTGTTTGATGTGAATCACAGAGTCACCTCCTTTTGGCTCAACTGAAGCTTTCGTTTGTCATTGGCCCACCATTTGGGAAAAGAAAGGTTTGAAGAAGTCCATGGAGGCTGTTTGTCAGGCCGGCCCCCAAGACAAAAAAAGACACTCAGACATGGATATTGACATGATGAAGCGGCAACATGGCTACATTTACCTTTGAACAACAAACTACCTGGGTAATGTGACAAAAAGCGGTGGAAAGGAATATTTCGAAGTGGTAAGGGTGGCTCGGCCTGATGCAGTCTATCAGGAACGCCTAGGATGCTAGGCGGAAGATGAGAATGAGGAAGTGCCCCAGCCTCAACGAGATGGTCGAACAAAGCTGGGCGCCTACCGTGTTCAGATGCATCTGGCGGAGGCATATCAGGCAAAAGGAACTTCAATTTTAGTGTTTCTCCCCTCTAGTAAGAATGAAGATAACAATACATTACGCTGAGAGGAACGAAGGAGCAGCTCTGGACCGAATTATGGCCTTATTGAATAGAGTCAATTGCATCTGGAGTCTAGTCTAAGGTATGATGCTGGAAGCTGTATGGAAAAGTGTTCCCAAAAACGACAACGTCAACAGTGTGCCCAGTACGTCCTCCATTCATCGGGCGTCCATCCCTCCGAGTCGCGCGCCAAAATATTGATATCGAACTCCTCTTCATCATCTTCCTCATACAACCAGGCTATGTACAGAAGATGAAGCCATTTATTAATCGACTCCTCCCTCTTTCTTGCCCAGCTGACATTGCAAACTGCGTCCTCTATTTCATCGCCATGAAAAGCTTCAAGATTCATAGCGGGAACGGCTAAACCAGAATCCCGCTGAAGGATTCCAGCGATGGCTCCTGCCGTACGTAGGTGTCCGTGTACGGATTCTGGCAGCGGCTTGGCACTTGCGTGTCGCATGGTTGCAATCACGCTCTCATTTTGACGGTATTTCTTTGCCAGATCTATTGGCGTCATGCCGCTAGCATTCAAGGCCCTAAGATCCGCACCGTGATCGATGAGAACCTCGATGACGAGTTCAGGGTCACGGCGATCTTGAAGACGGCTTGCCGCAAGGTGGTGAAGAGGTGTGTTCCCAAAGGCGTCTCGAACATTCGGGTCCACCTTGTACGTTCTCAGAAGAATCGAAACAGCCGCAGCGTCCCAGTTGGCGCATGCTTGATGCAGCGCATTGAGCTGAGTGCTTTCGTGTGTCGTGAGAGATGCACCGGCTGCGATGAGCAGATCCATCACCGCCCGAACGGGCACAGATGTAACCGTGCGTGTGTAGGATCCTTCTTGATCATCGGCTGCGAAGGCAAAGGCAAAGTATAGCGCGTTCGCTCCCAGTCTGAGGCGTTCTGATAGCACACCCACGGAGTATTCAGAGCTCGGCATCGCCCTCAGCGTTGGTGCAAAGCTGAGATAGGCGAGATTGTATGCCTGACAAGCGAACTTGTCACCAATTGTGGTGCCAGGATGGTGTGCCCAAATATCTGTCCTTAGGCCAACATCAGCGCCATGCTGTAGAAGCAACGCTAATGACATTTCGTCTCGATTGAATGCTGCCCAGTGAAGAGCTGTCAGGTCCGTCTCGAGTGAGCATCGCGAGGTCTGCTGATAAGTCTCTTCGTAGGGTGTATGATCGATAGTGAACTCTGTGTGGTCCTTCATATTTGCATCGGCACCGTATCTCAAAGACTTGGCTATCCCAAAGTAGTTTCCTTTTTTGGCAGACAGCAGCAGGGAAGAGGCGTAGTTCTTTGCGATGTCGTAGTCGAACAGGACGGGCGTGATGAGCTCCGAAAATCGTTTGCAGGTCCGAGCCATGTGGGCAATGTCTCTCCAAACGGCAAACCGCTCAAATTTTGCTGATTCGACAGGCTGCCACTGCTCTTCTGCGGCATCGTACCCATAAGCTACCTCATCTCCGTAGTTCTCCAAGACAGCCACGACAATTTGGCGTACGATGTTTTCCGGCAGCTCTGACCAGGTGCTGGGGTGCTGGATGTCTGCCTCTTCCTTCACGTTCAATTGCCGGACATCAGAGTTGGAGTCTCGAGGAGGCGTGAGCGGGATACCATGCGTTGTAGGTGTGCGGGATTGGCATCGCTTTACACAGGGAAACTGGTAGGTCTCTTTCGACGAGGCCGGTTTCCGCGGAATCTCCATGTCTGCGTGTGCGTTTGAAATGGATGGCGCTTGCAGAGGTGATTTGGCAATGAGGGAAGATGCTTCGACCTGAATGGCGATGTGTGCAATCGCAGAACCTTGATGTCGTGGTAGGCGGGGGCTGGGTCGGTGTCGCAAAGTGGATCGCTCCCTTGTCTAAGACTCGGATTTGACGAGGCAATCTCATGAGATGGGAGATGAAAAGCGAACTGCAAAATGTCAGAGTGTGAGTGACGACAACTGAATGAAGGAAAGGTACTTGAAAAATCTTAGGTGAGGTAGGTATCCGTATCCGCGGCGTGTTCGGAGAAAGGTTGAAGAGGTGACTCAGCACTCAGGAGGGTGCCCGTTTGCGCCAATGAATAGGGTTGGTGGTTGGTGCCGCTTGACCTTGATGGTACGAAATGATACTATGCGAATTGATGACGTCAGGTTGGGCGCGACGAGGGGTAGTCGATTGCAGGGAGATGAAGTTCACAAACGAGAGCCGCCTTTCTCTTCTTGAAGGTGAAGTTGAGGAGTGGAAGACGGTGGGTGTTTGGGGCGGCCGGGGTGGAGCCATGACAATCACGGGTGCCCGCGCACGGGGTGTGGGTCCCGCCGGAAGGCAGGCCCCCGGTGCCCCGTTCTTTCCCTGATTCCACGGGAATTTGTCTGGACGAAGAAGCACGTGACCTTACACCGGAAAGATTGCCACCCAACGGGCGAGATGTGATGTATCAATTCGCCTGGCAGCGTGGTGTTACCCAAAGGTACTTCCCGGTGTAGGGTATCACAAGGTATTTACTGCCCAGGGTGCAAAGATCGCCAAAGGCAATAAGGTGCCTCAGTATCCGAACATCTGATTGAGCCAGTCGACATCTGGATGGCAGGAGGGAATACGGGCGGGCAGGTGTTGGAAAATACCTCAGCCTGAGGGTTGTGAATGTTTCCCTTACTTCTTATCCGGCGTTGAGATGCATAAGGACGACACAAAAACGATACTGGGCTGTCTACGCCTGGGCATGGGTTCAGTGGCAGAAGAACTGAAGTCAAGGAGCTGACCTAGGGTAGCTAAGGTTCAAGGATTTCTCAAAGTGCCCGCACAAGGAGATGTGCTTATCCCCGACAACCACCAAGAGCTTAAGGGGAATGCTCTCACAATGTTGGTCATACGGCCCTATGCCAGCGTTGAGGCCAAGAATTGTAGTACGTATGCTCTCGGCACTATCGGGAGTCTTTACTGCCCGTTTGCGGCATCCGTGGCCAACGTGGCTTCGCAATCGCTCTGAATAGGTCATGGTTGCGAGCCGGGAGGTCAGCACGTACATTAAGCGCATGATCAAGCCAAACCGATGTCGCCGGCGCCATGTTCAACGACACACCGTTGCAATGGTGGCAACCAACAGACAAGACGCGGCGAAGATCTCACCATACGCCACTGCCTTCTTGTCTTGCCCGTCACCGAGCACGATGAGGATGCAGGAACACAGCTCACGGTGCATGCTGATGGAGAAGGACAGCCAACCTGGGCCACCGATGGTCCAACGCTGACGCCATCGAAGACAACTATACTGCCGTTCTGACTTCTTGAGATCGATGTGAACGACCACAGGAGCATCAAGATGGAACTAGACTTGATTCTGCTCAGCATCGACTGTCGTACGACGAAGTTGACGATTGCTTCTCGCCAGGCGGCCATCTACTTTGGAACAAGGTCCTAGCTGCGCCGTGTTGAAATCTGTTGTGGCTCGGTTCCTTGCACCCTTAACCCTGCGAGAGGTGCGCCGGTTGTTTGTCCATCTACTCAAGAGTTCTTTGATCAATCCAAGATAATCTATCGACATGTGGGGGGCCGTAGAAGGATGGGTCGCGGGCGGAAGCAGTGTGCTTTCGGCTGGCGTCTAATATCTACTTCCCTGATGCGTATAGCCCGCCATGCCCCGACGTTCAGGTTGTTGTTCAGAGCCACAGAGTCGCTTTGAGTCCTGCTCTCGCTCCCGCGTAAGGGTGCAGGTAGTTGGAAGGCGTATCATCGTGTAATGTGACGATGCATTCCAATTGAAAAAGAGCTGAGTTGATAGAGCACTAGGATCCGAAGGTAGGGTCAGGGCGCTGGTATGTGACGAAGATGACTGAGTAGCCTGTAAGAAGAAATTTTCCTTGCCCCTCTTCTACATCATCTCCTTCTGGCGCGAGTTGTCAATGTATCATACGTGGTGGAACAATGATAACAAGAAACAAGCGCATGTGTTTTGGGGATCATTCTGCATATGTACCGCAGCCTCAAGAACCCCAGCAGTGTACTCCGTTCCTGACCTTCGGCTGGATCAGGATTGAGCGGCCCCACGACGGCGCAGTAGGTAACGGCATGTCACGCCATGCGCGTTGTTATCTCGGCGGGCCGGACAAAGAAACGACAGAAACAGGCGCGACGGGAAGCAGGGGCGTGTGGGGGCTGGGTGGGCGTGTGCATGGCCCAGACGTTCTTCGAGAAGGAATTTGGGACCTTGTTCGCTCATAACTCGGAGAGAAAGTAAAGCATCCGTGACGCATGTTAGGTCCTAACAGGGCGTGCAGGGCTGGGAGGTCTGGACCTGAACTGCGAAGCTAGAACGAATCCCGAAATTGAGGCTCCCACCGCCTGTTTATTGAGTAGTGCGAAAGTGGGTTCTGACTCGACAGGCTCGTAAGACAGTTCGGATGGGGTGATCATGATGTTATCCTGGGAGTCGGACAAAACCGGTATATGACGGTCAATGCCGGACATCGGGGCTGGTCAAGGCTTCTTGTTTTCGTTTTCGTCTCTTTGAGCTTCGAGGCGCAGGCCATTGCAACCTTCGTATATGGGAAGAATGAGTCGATTATTGAACAATCTTAGACTTCAAAGATAACAGTGTCGATAATTGGGTTGTTCTGATTGAGAACAGGTATTGCTGACCTCCACTGTCTCTGCCGGGTGGATGTTGGCGAGCAAAGTGCCTGCAGAAGCGAGGGGAAAAGCGGTGCAGCGGGATCTCTCGCTTCGTAGACGCACTTGTTCAAATCGGGCGTGGCGCATGAGGTATGCCTTAGTCATCCAGCCACACTTGCCATCGCAGCAGGAGCCACTCGGAAGGCAGCCCTGGATGGCATTTTCGAAGGAAGGAGCGACTTTGGAGGCTCACCGACACTGACCGACACCGGGCAGGCGGTAACTGGCCGGACGGACATTACACCGGAAATAGTCAGGCCCGTAACGGCCCGGCATTCTCCACTCATTCATGGGCCTTGAAAGTTGACAGACCCAGTTCCCTGTCTCGAATCATCCAACTTTTGGCCGACATGTCACCGCATCCACTTTGTTTTCGACTCTCCCGCGACCATCAACCTTGCATCATCAGCCACTTCGCGCCGATGATTTGCACCAAAAGCACGACCATCACATCAGTATCAATCGCGCCACAAAGACCCTAATCTGCAGACACACCCTCGTCATCGCGTCCCCTATTCACGGACAGGATCTTCGTTTCTGGCAGGGTCCACGTCAATTGGTTACTGATCCGTGAGGATACACTTTTTGCCCTGACTTTCGGCATCTCCACCTTATCGGCCTGTCTCTTCAAGATACCTTCACCTCGAATCCGACCACTCTCTCTAGCCACCCCTCGCAATCTTAGCATACACCCCCCTTTTCGATATTGCTTCGGACTCATCAACAGTTACTTAAATATGACCTGCCTCGACATGTCCTCAGGGCATTATTCCGGTCCTTGCTGAACGGCACGAGCCTTAGCTTCAAATAGCAACTACACTACTACAATCATCTTACATCTTTGCCATCAAACTACGACGACCAACATGTCTGGTCTAACTCTAACAACGCCAATCGACTCGTTACCCAATGAGGTAAGCACCTCCCGTTGCCCATCATAGCAGAGCGCCAACACTCTTATGCTACACACCCGCTAACTACCTTTGCCCTGAACAGCTTCTTATTGCGATCCTATCCACCTTTGAGTCTCGCGAGCTGCTGCCATTAACGACCGTCGACCGCCGCTTCAATGCTACCGCCACCACAATACTGCAGCACCGCCTCCTTCATACCGCGAAGATGGAAGGACACGAGGTGATGCTGGAGAGCTACCACCCAAGTGTCAGGAACTCAACACCGTCAATGACGTGTAGGTTTGCAGGCGTTGACTTCCTGGGATACCAGTGGACCGGCGAGGAAGATATGGACTTGCGTGATCTCTCCCACCTTTACTCCCACTTCCGCCCGGTTGTCTCCGAAGAGACGCGACGCATGCGGAGAGTTTTTGGTCGACGGATGCCGGGCGCCCCACTCGAGCAAGAAATCGGTGACCAGCCAGTTGTCCAAGAACTCATCCTGGATGACGGAGAGCTCTTCTCTCAACTTTGCACAACAACTAGCCTGGCCAAGTCGGGTCCAAACCCTGGTCTTCTGGCTAGCCACAGCAATATTGAGAATGGCGTGGTACGCGTCTGGAGACATTGGTTAGCAAAGGCGGCCGCCAGGACTGCCATTTGCCCAGCAGGACAAGGACCAATCGACGAGAGCACCATCTTGTGGGCCGACGCCACGAAGAATGTTGGATTGCGATTCAGCGTTACCGATATCACCAAGGAGCGTCTACCTGCCTACCGCGGATTGGACGAGGATGCTCCTGTCGCCTACTCTCTGCACTACCAAGGTAAGGTCACCATGTTCAGACCCATGTGACAGGCAAGCGGCAAGCGACTAACTATGACACTAGAGTTACTGGTTCGCACAAGCCAAGTACTGCTGGCGATGGAGAAATCAGCAGTCCAAGAAGTTGTCGACTCAGGTAAATCAGCCATCATAGCTTCATGAAAGTTCCTTTCGTCCGGCCAAGACCGGGCCGGTTAAACACAGCACCCACGACTACCCCAGGGCGCGCAGTGTTGACGACCTCAACTCCCAACATCAACATCGAAAAGTTTCGAGAAGTGCAAGCAAGTGGGCCAAGTCCCCGCAGATTGGTATTTGCTCGGTCAACATCGTCACCGCCGATTCTCCCTAGGATGGAACGCCTCCCAGAACTTGGCTACTCAGTAGCGGCCACCTTCGTGAAGACGAACGTCCAGCGTCAGAATACCCATACCAACACCACGTCTCTTCCGACTCATCCAGACCACTTTGCTGACTTTGTCGTCCTCTTTATAGGTTTTGTCATGCAGCTCGACGCGAAGAGTGCCCATGCAGTAGAGACCGTCTTGATGGCACCCGCTACGCGACCATTCCAGCCTCAAGCGGTTGCTGTCATGTGAAGAAAGCGATCATGTCAGGACCCTGGCAAACTTTAAACCAGTGACTGGCTGTCACATTCTGTCTATGCACAAGGAATAGACCAAAAAGCGAACTGAACAGATATTTCGGGGTCGCCGGAGAGCGAAACACGTCGCTTGTCTCTCGTCGAGGTCGCAAGGCCAGCCACGCATTGCATGAGTTGCATGCATTGGATACAAAAGAATCGACGTTTCAGCATCTTAGACACATCATCATGCGTCTGGCATAATGGGGGAGGAAGGGCGACCAACATTGACTAGAATCATTCCGTCGCGGGGATAGATACAACGTGACATTTGGGAATGGCGTTTCGGCGAATTCGGCCTAGACGGCGTTACACCGCAAAGGCCAACAACGACTGTACGGATAGACAAGAGGGATGGGTGGTCTTTGAGGATATACATAACGACATAGAGGTTCCCGACCTTGACAAGGTAATTGCCAAGGCCACTCGGGATGTTGAATTGAACAGGCGTACACCAGAATTTCGTGGATTCCCCTTAGATGACACTCCATACACATCCGACCGCTCCATGTATGATCGACGCTGCGGGGGCTATGCTCCAGCCAAGCGCTGTGGAAGAGGGGCAATAGGGCAGACAAACAACGAGGAACATGAGTTAGTCATCCGCTTGCCGGCCGTTGAGATGGTCGATCCCGCTAGCCGCAAGTACGTTCTCGCCAGGTCCATCCCGCCGCCATGATGCCAAAGTCATTGATCAGAAGATCGACGCCTGCAGCGCGGAGTACGTGGTGCGATATTGATTCAGCGCTGGTTGATGGTCTGCAACTCCGGATACAGCCTACAGCGTTCGACGCCGGCAACTCCACTGCACTCATACAGCTCTGCACGGAATTGTTGGCGGCACCTGACAAGCAGGCTTCTTTGGTCGCAAAAAAACATTCCCGGGTGTATGGATCTGGACAGACGCGCCCTATCCGAGGCTATTTCAACGCTGACGCCAGCAGCAAGAGCCGCGGGTATGACTCTGCGCAGTCTGACAAGGATCCTTGTTCTTTGGTGGTTTGCGAAACGGCCTGCAACGAAGGGGTGCCCCTCCGACCCATGGCCAGCGGGCCAATTTACCGAGCCCGGCCCCGAAGAAACAACAAAATTTCCTTCGACAATGGCTCGGTTAGTGCGTTCTGTTCCAAATGGTAGAGCCTCAATCATGCTGATGCCACACCGTGGTCTCGAGATATTGGCCGCACTTGATGAAAGACCCTAGGGGCGGAAGGCCGCCTGGAACTGGTCGTGACCATCGCGAGCGGGTTATTTATAATGAACGATTATCATCAGCTCAAACGGAATGGATGCTTCAATTGAAACTGCGCCGGGCCATACGAGCGCGACTTTCGCCCCGAAGTTGCAATCGATTGAACGCGCGTCAATCGTTAACCATCTGTCAAAAGGTCAGAACGCAACGGGGATGGGGAAAAGAGCCGAACTATGCTGGCCGTCATCTGGTGTCATAAGTCTGTCAGCTCCTGCAACTCGCGATCGACCAACTTTGATTTCAATTAACCTTGCCTTAACATTGGCCACCCCATGCGCAACGAAGGCGTCGGCCGACATCGAACACCAGAGACCGAGCCGCCCTCTCTGTGCTTCAACTCCCAGAGTCGACAATATTTCCAGGAAATATGATACTTGGCCGGCGAAACAATAGAGCCAGGCCCAAAGAAATTGTTCAAGAGACAGAACTGGCATCAGGAAGGTTTCAGCGCGTCGTCTGCCCAGGCCGGCGGTGGTCCAAGCACGCATCGGACGCATCGGACGGGGGCCGTTTTGACAGGGCTCGGTATCCCTGCAACCATGTCTCATCCAATGATGGCGCGGAAGACCAGGCCGAACTCCTGGCCATCGCCGCCTTCACGACGCTTGGTATCCATAAGGATACACTTGTCGGGGGCCTGTCATGCCTAGGGCCCGTGAGGTTGCATCATGTCGCTTGCAGCCG